CCTCCTCCTCCTCCTCCCCCTCCTGAGATGCAATTTGTTTCGCACCGGGCGTTTTCTCTCAATGTCGGTTTCAATCGCGTACGAATCACATAGGAATCGTATACGGATCATGGCCACGTTCGAGTTCAAAGACATATGTTTAGCTGAGATCATGATCGGCCGTCGGTGATCGGACCGATCGCAACCGCTTTTTCAGCTTCCCATTGGGCGGCTTAAGGGAGCTCAGTGCGCCCATGAAGCCTCTTACGATCTCTTCCTTAATCGAAGCCTTCCTGAAACGACCCAAAAACATCGCAACCACTTCGGGCCGATCGCAACTGGTTGCGATCGGTCCGAAGTGGTCGACGATCGGTCCGAAGTGGTTGCAATCGGTCGTGCTCGCGGGGGAGGGGATGGGACCGCGGGGAGGGAACTGGAGGGGGGAAGGGAAGGGGGGGGGAGGAGAGGGAGGGGGGGGGGGGGGGGAAGGGAAGGGGGGTTAGACGGAAGGGAAGGAAGGCGAGGAGGACAAGCTTTTGCCGTCACATCGTGGCATTCGGGGGGGGGGGGGGGGGGGCGTAAGGGTCTTAGGGGCCCTGGACCAGCGTCTCTCGCGTCCAGCGACCCAGCTATTTCATAGTCGGGCTCCTCGGACCCATCGGGACTTCAGGAGCTGACCCTCGCGGAGAAGGGAGAAGGGGGGGGGAAAGAGAGGGGGGATGGCAGGGGGGGAGGCCGCACCTTGCTCTTCTGGCCCCCGCTCCCTCTCGCCCCCCCGCCCCCCTCCCGTCATCCCCGTCCCCTTCCCCGACCGCCCGGCCCTCTCACTGCGCCCCCCTCCCCTGTCTATTTTTCTCCTCATCCCCTCCCTCCCCTCCGCCCACCCCTCCACCCCTTGCCCCTCTTCACTCCCCTCCCCTTTGTTGCCCCAACCCCCCACCCCACCCCACGAACAGTCCTCCACATTCTACCCTCTGTCCTCCCTCATCCCCCATCCCCCGTTGGGACGTCTTCTGGGGTGCGGTTCGAACAGAGCTCCAAAAGTAATCCAGCCGTGGCGACGTGAACTCTCTCGGAGGCGCAAGACCCGCGAAAAAGGCCAAACAAACCTCGATCATCGAACCTCGACGCTTCATGCAGATCCCCCTCGCCCCTGTCGGCTACACGGGCCCTATGCAAGAGTGACCTTACGTGCGCGGCTTCAAGGAGCCGAGGGGTGGCCAAACCGAAGCTTGCAAGCCAGTGTGGGAGGGACCCCTTGTGGACTTGCACAAACAGCCATTTCTTTCCTGGGGCCGACTTTTCATCCTGAGTCGTCTTTTGATTGTCCTGGTGCCCTTGGTGCCTGGTAAGGGCCCACGGAGGCCGAAAACGCTCCACCAGACCCCAAAAAAGGCGTGGATATTGTTCACGATGCGAGAAAGTGAGGCATAGCCTCGGGTCACAATTCGGGCATCCTGCGGTCATTGAGGACGATCTGGGCACACCATGGGACGGTCCTGGCGAGGCGCGGCTGCTGGAAAGCGTCCGGAGGCTGCGACACCATCGGGATCCGACGAAAACTTCGAAAGCAACTCACGGAAGCTTTTGGGCGTCTCCATGGCGACTGGTTGCGCGATCAACCGTGCACACAGCGGACATGACGCATCCCCCTCACATAGCGCGATTGGGCCCGTCAACTTCCGCCTGCCCTCCGCAGGCGGCGCCGCCGCCCTGTTGCTTCCGCCGCCCCGCCGCCGCCCATCCGCCGAGGACGAGGCGGCGACTCCCTCGAGCCTTGACGGCGAGGCCCTCCCTCTGGAGCGCCGTCCGCGTGGTTCCTAAGCCCGGGTCGGCCCCGAGGGGACTTGGCGGACCCCCCGTGAGCGCCGACCCCCGCGGCGCGAGCGCCCCGATCCCCGCGCCCTGCCGCCCGCGCGCAGAAAGTCGCCGGCTTCGCGCCCCGCCACCTGGGGCGCCGGCCCGCACGAGCGGCGCTGCTCTCCGCCCGACGTGGGGCGCACAAAACCCGATTGGTGCTAGATGTCCTCCTCGGAAGCGTGCGCCCGACGACCCGCACAGGTAGTATAACAATCTTGCAGTATACGGTCAAGTATCGATGTATGGCGTGTGCGGTTTTCTGGGGCGCGGGTTTCTACACGAGGCTCCACGCCAAGTGAAAGCTGGAGCAGGGCTCGAAGACGGGAGGTGGGGGCCCCCAACTGACTGCACACGCTAAGCGTTCCGAGCAATTTTCATCCAGCGCAGCGCAGCGCCGTCGACTCCAATCGCGCGCCACCCCCCGCCCCCCGTATCGTTTCCCGAGCGGTATGGTCAGAAACCGCCCGCCACCGAACATGCACTATAAGATTTTTCGGCGCGCGCGTCTCCCTTTTTGGGGGGCGACGCATACCTAGTATCCGTCTGTTTGCGTGACGCCGACAAACACTTCGGAACCTGCGCCGACAGTGGGCCTCTTGATACCCGCCGCGCCAGGTCGTAGCCGGAGTTCGAAAGCTGAACAACAAAAATACTCCAATGCTGTTGGAGGGGGCCTGAGCCAGGAAGGCCGCGAACAGTAGGGAGGGGGGTTTTGTTTCGCAAATGTGTCGGGCGAGGCCACCCACATGTCCAGGGAGATCCCTCGAAAAACGCGGACCTAAGGTGAGGATGCCAAGAGGGACCGACGCCGCTGCTCCCTGGACCTCAATGTCGAAGCGAGTCAAGCCGTGGCGACGAAGGGCCTCTTACGAGGCCCCACGCGGCGAAATCGAAGCAGGGCGAGGCGACGCTGATGATGATGATGATGATGATGATGGTGATGGAAACGGTGATGGTGATGATGATGGCGATGACGATGACGACGACGATGACGATGACGATGACGATGACGACGACGCTGATAATGATGCTGATGATGCTGATGATGGTGGTGGTGATGGTGAACGACATGGTGAAAATGATGATGGTGGCGATGATAACGATGATGACGATGATGATGATGATGATGAAAAAGATGAGAATGATGATGATGATGATGGTGATTGTGATAGTGATGGTAATGATGACGATAGTGATGAGGAGGATGATGATACTGCGGTGGAAATAAAATCTTTGACTTGTTCAGATGCGCGTGGCGGGGGCAGGCGGGCTCTGCGCGCGTCTGGTGACGCGCGCTCATGTGCTCGGCACTGCGGCCATGGTGCTAGAGTGTTCGTGGTCAGCGGCAGCCGTCTCCATCGCGCCCATGGCGACGGCGTCGGCAAGCCTCGCTGCGACGAAGACGATCCCGATCGTGACAGTGATGGCGGTCACTTTCCGGAAGAGTATGACCATGACGATTGTTGTCATGATGATGATCATGATCAACACGATGATGGGCATGAAAACGATAAGTCCCCCCATCCCCCCGTGGACTCCTAGCCAAGACGCGCTGTCGGAGCGGGACAGGACTTGGGCGCGCCGTGGGAGCACATTCATATAAATTCACCAAATCCGGATGTTCCAACTCCCGTCTGGAGAGAGAGCGAGAGAGAGAGAGAGAAAAAAAAAAACAAAAAAAAAAAAAGAAAAAAAAAAAACACGGTACCATATCCCGACCCAATGGCAAGTCCCGTCCCGCGAGTTCTCACGTCCTGGAACATCCCCAGGCGACCTCGCGCAATCCAAGTAAACTGCACTTTCCCTGATGTAACGGTCATGGTGATGGTGATGATGCTGATGATGATAATGGTGATGGTGATGACCATGACGATGATGATGATGATGATGATGATGATGATGATGATGATGAAAATGATGATGATGATGATGACGATGACGGCGACGACGACGGCGACGACGACGACGGCGACAACGCCGATGACGACGCCGACGACGACGACGACGACGACGATGATGATGATGCTGATGATGATGATCATGATGATGATGATGATGATGATGATGATGATGATGATGATGGTGATGGTGGTGGTGGTGGTGATGATGATGATGGTGATGATGATGATGATGATGATGATGATGATGATGATGATGATGATGATGATGATGATGATGATGATGATGATGATGATGATGATGACGGCTGATGGGGCTCACAATAGCGCAACGGAGCAGGTCGGGCCGCACATGGGCCACGCGCCCTCGGCGCGCCCTCGCCCTCCGAGCTCAAGGGCAACACGTCGGCCAGAGGGCGCGGGGGCCGCGCGGCGCGGGCCTCGCGAGGTCGTCGTCGTCGAACATGCGCCTGTCGCCGAACGCCGCTGGCGCCGCTGGCGCCGCCGACGACGCCGACGACGCCGACGATGACGAGAACGAGGACAAGGCCGAGGACGAGGACGAGAACAAGGACGAGGACGAGGACGCGGACGAGGACGAGGACAAGGACGAGGACGACGCCGACCACAACGACGACGACGACGCCGACGACAACGACGACGCCGACGCACGCCGACGACGACGCCAACGACGCCGACGACGACGATGCCGAGGACGACGCCTACGACGAAGCCCGACGACGAAGACGAAGACGACGACGACGACGACACACAACGACGACGGCGACAACGACGACGACGACGACGACGACGACGACGACGACGAAGCCGACGCACGCCGACGACGAAACCGACGCCCGACGACGCCCGACAATGACGACGATGACGACGCCGACGACGACGACAACGACGACGACGACACCCGACGACGGCGACGACGACGACGACGCCCGACGACGCCCGACAATGACGACGATGACGAGGACGCCCGACGACGACGACGACGACGCCGACGACGAAGCCGACTCCCGACGACGACGCCCGACGACAACGACGACGACGACGACGACGACGACGACGACGACGACGACGACGCCCCGACGACGACGACGCCCCGACGACGACGACGACGCCCGACAACGACGGCGACGACGACGACGCCCGCCGCCGACGAGGACGACGACGACGACGCCCGACGACGACGACGACGACGACGACGACGACGATGCCCGCCGCCGACGAGGACGACGACGACGACGACGCCGCCCGACGACGACGAACGTGCGCCTGTCGCAGAACTGGCACAGCGGGTGCGGGGGCACCGGGGGCGCGCCGCCAGCCGCCAGGACGCCAGAGCCCTCCTGCGGCAAGAGATCGGCGGGCATCGGCTCGACGAGTCGGGGGGGAGGAGGAGGAGGAGGAGGAGGAGGAGGAGGAGGAGGAGGAGGAGGAGGAGGAGGAGGAGGGAGGAGGAGGAGGAGGAGGAGGAGGAGGCGGAGGACGAGGAGGAGGAGGAGGAGGAGGAGGGAGGGAGGAGGAGGAGGAGGAGGGGGAGGAGGAGGAGGAGGAGGAGGAGGAGGAGGGGGAAGGAGGAAGAGGAGGAGGCGCCAGATTCCACCTTGCACACCGCTCTGGCGAGGATGCGCCGCAGATTCTGCCACAGGACAGCGGCCGGACGACGCCGTCCGCCTTCAAAGCCAGCAGACGATCTCCGAGATGAGCCTTGATAATGTCCTCCGGCACCTCTCCGAACAGAAGTCTGGTAAGGACCACGGCGGCTGCCTGGAGACCGTCCGGGTGGTGTCGCAATGTTCCCCAATGCTCGTATCTGGACCCTGAAGGCCCCGCCCCGGCAAGACGCGGAAAGCGAGAGATGCGCGCAGCGACTTCCTGCTCAATGGCGGACCTGTGCTGCGCTCCTGGCGCTTCCACCTCCATGGCCCCAGGTGCGGCCCCTGCCAGTCCAGAAGCATCAGGGTCGAACAGCGCCTTCAGCTTCTCGGCGGTACCCGGACGAATCTCCATCTCCGCCTCCATCTCCGCCTCCTACTCCTCCTCCTCCTCCTCCTCCGCCTCCTCCTCCTCCTCCTCCTCCTCCTCCTCCTCCGCCTCCTCCTCCTCCTCCTCCTCCTCGTCCTCGTCCCCCTCCTCCTCCTCCTCCTCCTCCTCCTCCTCCGCCTCCTCCTCCTCCGCCTCCTCCTCCTCCTCCTCCCGCGGCTGGGGCGGAGGGGCCGCCGGCGGCGCTCCCGGGGTGCTTGGGGCCCAGGTTCGGCGGCGAGCGGGGGGGCGGAAGCAAGAAGGAGGAGGCCTTCTCACCCAGACCCCCTCGCGTGGTGAAAAAGTCACGACGGAAGGTTTTTCGCTATTTTCGGCCTCCGAGGGGCCCTCACCAGGTTTCGGGACCGTCAAAACACGACTCAGGATGCAAAACCGGTCCTGGGGAAGGGGTCCAGACCTCTGGGGGTCGACGTTGCGAAAAAATCACGACGTCGGGGGTCTGGGCAGAAGGCGGCGGGACTTCTCAGGAGCCCTCACGCCGTCTGAGAGGTCTTCTGCGTCTTCGGGGAAGGCTTAGAAAACTTGTTCTGGAAGGCCGAGGAACTTCCGAGACTGCTGAGAAGGCCTTCTCCTTCTCGCTTCCCCCCTGGGCTTGCCGTCGACGGTCATCGGGGGAATCACGAGCGGCGAACAGGTCAGTATGCGCCCTCGTTGTCTGGATTCCAGCGCGCGATCCCGCGTGTTCGCGGTCGCACGGATACGTTCCGCGCGGGGCATCCGCGAAAAAATGCCCCGCATCCGTGGGGTTACGGCCCAGGGGCCCTGCCCGCAAGGCAGCGGATACGGATACGTGTTTCGCCATGTTTCGCCCACGAGTGGAAGGGGGGAGGTGCCGGCCCATAACCTCGCCTTTTCGCTTTGGGCAGCGCATGCCCGCGCGCACCAGCACTGCGTACCCCTTGGGACCTGCGCAATCGACAAGGTCAGGTCATCCCTGGGGCGGAGGGAGGGGGCCGGCGGTCCCGACAAAACAGCCTCCTGCATCGGTACGGAGCCGAATTCGAATCGGATCGGCTGCGCCAGACTGCACAACAGCGACATGCAAGCAGGAGGATCCGGAGGAGGAGGAGGAGGAGGAACCCCTCCTGGGCGAGGGGGGGGGCCCTGACCTCGGAGATCCGCCGTGCTTTCTGGTTGGCATTCGGAGTGGGACTGGGTCGCCGGAGGGCACACGAGGGCTGTGAGTTACAATGTTGGAGGCGCACGCCCGACATGAACACACAGGTCAACGTTTTTTCCCAACCATTCTGTGGTGTTGGGTCCTCGTTTTGAAGAGACGTCGCCCCGCGTTCTCCCCTCCTCCTCTTCCCCCTCCTCGTGCTACCGTCCGCATGCGTCCCGCACGCCCAGTGCCCAGTACAGCCCTTCGTGGCCCCATGGGGAGCTCCACAGAAGGTCCCAATGCTACCGTCCGCATGCGTCCCGCACACCCAGTACAGCGTTTCGTGGCCCTCCTCCCCCTCCTCCCTGCATTACACCCACCCAGTACAGCGCTTCGTGGCCCCATAGGGAGCTCCACCGAAGGTCCCAGTGCTACCGTCCGCATGCGTCCCGCACGCCCAGTACAGCGCTTCGTGGCCCCATAGGGAGCCCCACCGAAGGTCCCAGCGCTACCGTCCGCATGCGTCCCGCACACCCAGTTCAACGTTTCGTGGCCCCAGGAGCTCCACCGAAGGCCCCAGTGCCCCCGTCCGCATGCATCCCGGAAGCCCAATTTGGCATTTTCACCCACCCAGTGCAGCGTTTCGTGGCCCCATAGGGGGCTCCACCCAAGGCCCCAGTGCCACTGTCCGCATGCGTCCGGGAAATGTAATTTGGCATTTTCACCCGCGCAGTGCAACGTTTCGAGGCCCCATAGGGGGCTCCACCGAAGCCCCCACTGGGAACGTCCGCATGCGTCCCGGAAACCCAATTTGGTACTTTCACTCACTCAGTAGAGCGCTTCGTGGCCCCATAGGGAGCTCCACCGAAGCCCTCAATGGGACCGTCCGCATGCGTCCCGGAAACCCAATTCGGCACACCACCCACACAGTACAGCGTTCCCCCCCGCCCAGTGCAGCGCTTGGTGGCCCCATAGGGAGCTTCACCGAGGCAGATATTCACAATTACGGTACCCACAACTGCATATGGTTGGGACCTTCGCCAGGATAATCTATTCGGCGTTTCGACATTGGGCGGAAGGGGGGGGGGGTCTGGCTCTAGACCTCTGCTCAGTGCGGCTGCTTGCAGCAGTACGTCCATTATGGGGGAGACTCCACCTGATCGAAGCAGGCGCCAGCAACAGCCAAGACCTGCTCCACTGGGGGGGGGAGTGCGAAGACCCGCGCCGATCGGCAAAACAATGAATAAAACAACGATCACCAGTACACCCACATCCTATAGTTTCCACGAACCAACGCAGTGAAGATCAAAATTGCCGGCTTCCCCACCGAGGGGAAGGGGACTCCACTGGTTATGCGGTGCACAAGCCATGGAGGAGAGAAGAAGACGGCGAAAGAGGGAACCAAGACGGAAGGAGAAAACGAGGGAGGAAGAAGAGCACTAAATGCGTTCGCAGGTCCAGAAATCGCGCCTGGGGTAGGTAGCCCAGAACTGATCACAGGAGAAACGCACTGCCATGTTAACACACATCGCCATGCGCGATCAAAGCACGAAAAGAGGAGGAGGAGGAGGAGGAGGAGGAAGAAGACGAAGAAGAGGGGATGATCAGCAGCAGGGATAGCATGAGGCTCATGGGACCAGGGAGGAAAAAACAGGAAGGGGACGGCAACGACGAACAATAAAAATCGGACGCGTGATGTGTTACTGCTCTGGGGCGAGAGCGCCGTTCTGAACGGTCACGGTGACGGCAACGCACGGATCATGGAATGTAGCCACCGCTGCACCAGGAACACATCTCTAGGCCGACAGCTGAAGGCCCGAGCGGAACCAATGTATACACACCATCAAAAGTAAAGCCCTGTGCGCGGGACGCAATAACGCAGGAGGAACGGGGACCCCTCTGGACACTGAGGGGCCAGGAGGGTGGTACGCAGCTGCGGCAGCCGTGGAGGGGGAGGAGGAGGAGAAAGAGGAGGAGGAGGAGGAGGAGGAGGAAGGATTGGATGGACAGGCAGAAGGGTCGATTGGATCACACACGCCGAAAAACAATTACCCATGATAACCAATCGAAATGGGAGGAGGTGGAAAACGAGGCTGCTCCGAGACCGATTGCCCGCGCCAGGCGAGGGAGAGGAAAAGCAAAAGAGAGAGCAAGCGGGAGAGAAACGATAATGAGAGCGATGACATTGAAACGAAGAAGGGGAATGAGAGAGAATGACAGAAAGAGAGAGGGAGAGAGAGAGAGCGAAGGAGAGAGAGGGAGGTAGGAAGATCAGCGTGGAGCGAAGGGGGGGAAGAAAGGCAGAGGAAGGGGCGGAAGGACGGAAAGGGACTTGAAAATGCAGGGCGCGAAAGTTGAAAAGTACTGCGAGAGAAGAACGCAATGAAAACTTGGACCAAAAGTGGAGCAGGATGCAACGAATTGCCGAAACGGACGACGACCGTAATCAGACTTAGCATGAAGACGGGGTGCTAGGAGACAGGGGGGAACAACAAAAAATAAAAACAAGAGGCGAGACAATCTTGATGGGCGTCAAAAGAAGGAGGCAAAGAGAAAGAGACAGAGAGAAAACAAAACAAATGAAAAAGAGAGAAAGAGGGATAGGGAGAGAAAGAGAAATATAACAAACAAACTACAAAAAAAAACGATAGAAAGAGAGAGAGAGAGAGAGAGAAAAACAAAAAAAAAAAGAGAGAGAAAGCGAAGGCAACGGGGCCAAAGGCTTAGGCGCGGTAGCATGCAGCAGCGGCGATTGATCAATTCCCTCCGGCCCTCGCCTCTTTCCAATCCCTATCCGACCCCGCGCGATTCTGCGAAATGAGGACACGCAGGTAGAGAACGAGGACCAGACAGAAAAAGAGAGAGAGAGAATGGGAGAGACAAAAATATACGAACCAAACGATCTCGAATGAGAAAGAGAGAAAAGGAGAGAGAGAGAGAGAGGAGAGACAAATATATATATATATATATATATATAGAGAGAGAGAGTGAAACAGAAACAGAGAGAGAGAGAACTTTAAAAAGAGCGAGAGAGAGAGAGAGAACGATAAACGACTGTGCAGAAACCGTCGCGCAAAGCACTAACGGGCATGCGAGAGGCGCC